GTATGTTTTCTTCCCTTTTTTTAGTATAAGAAGATAAGAGTTTTTTGCTTGGCCATTCGCAGAACTTGATTAAGAGAAGAACAAGATTCTGATTTATTTCACTCAATAAATACAGGAAAACTATCTTCTGCAGATAAATCCACTTCGCATATCTCGAAAGGGTCTGTGGGTGAGAATACTGGGTGTGAGTGTCAAGTCGGTGCCATCATGTGTTATTAATTCGATGTTCGTCCTGTGTGCTTATTAGTTGGCTGGCCTTGACCCTAAAAAGGCCGGGCAATCTGAGGTCTTAATATGGCCAGGGGGGCATTATGCCCCCCTCCCCCTAAGATCTCGGCCGTGAAACGGCCGATCGCCGCGAAAATGTGCACGCATGTCAAGTGCAGTGTAAAGAATACTATGGTAAATTAAATTTTTGAAAAATTTACTCAATTGCATATTTATGGTTATTTATGCAAATTAGGTCATAAAATTCACCTCTTTTAAGGAAAAAAAGACATTTCCATATGTTTTGTACTCGAATCATGAAAAAGTAGCGATTTTCGGGCTGACATGCAAATAGACAAAAGGTCACGTGACTTTGTCTGATTTTCACCATTTTTTTTTTTTTTTAAAGATGCGCAAGACTCGAAAGAAAAAGTCAGCGAGCGGAGGGGCACCATCCGTATGCGTTCCCGTACAATCAGAAAAATCGCGGAGGGTGGGCCATAATCCACCCAGCCTATTAAGGTTAATGGCCCGCCCATGTCGAAATTCCATTTTATACCATTTGAAACCAGTAAGGATTCAGTTCCAACTGGTATCTAGTGGTTTGAACTGGTTTCAACTGGTTTCAATTGGTCTCAACTGGTACCAGAAGAAATACCAATTGACATCTGAGACCATTTGATTTACCAGTTGCTTTACTAGTTGAAAGCCAGTAGATGATTACCAGTTGATTTACCAGTTGAAAACCAGTAGGTGATTACCAGTTGATTTACCAGTTGAAATCCAGTAGATGGTTACCAGATGATTTACCAGTTGAAAACCAGTAAATGATTACCAGTTGATTTACCAGTTAAAAACCAGTAGAATACCAGTTGAATTACCAGTTGAAAAAAACAGTTCAATGTATCTTATGCATATTCATGATTAATTTGCTTATTTTCACAGAATTTTTGTTATCATGATCTGTCAAGCAAATGTGACAATGCACATCAATGTTGTGATTTATATTTTCTTAGTCAATCATTGACAAATACATCATATATGTCTGATCATATTTTTTATCTAATTTAAGACTTAAAATTAGATATATTGATATATGTAATTACTAACCAGGAAACAAAGTGTATACATTCAGTCAGTACGCCGCTGCACGAAAACCGCCCGTATTTATCGTACTCGTATGCAAGCCCAGCGGTCACACGAGCTTGAAAACACCGACTTGTTTCCACCTACACAAAATGGTTTCTTGCTAATCATTTAGCATGAACGATATGTCAAATTGAAGACAAGAAACTGCTCTTTCATTAATCTGAATTAGAAATAAACTGAACTCCATTACCTTATGAAATATTTCCTGTCAAATACATGCTTACTTTTTCCGTATTTTCATCGAGTTTATGATGAAAGTGAATGCATAAAAAACGTAGAAAACGAGTAGGAACCTCATCAATCTTTATATTTTTGGAGAGTTTAGACATCATTCTTTGTATGGTGTGAAGATCAGGTTATTTGATGATTCGAACGGGTCAAGTTCACGGTTTTAAAAAATAGTTCCACATTAAGAAGATACATGAATACGAAGATTTCCGATCACCTACCGAACGACCATTCGTCAAAGGTGAACGAACTTGTGACTTCGCGGTTTGTTTTCTAGGCACGAATAATGGCGTTATTTCAACATTTTAACCCTATTTCATGTAATTATCTTGGTATTTATCGATTACTAAGATTAACTATGGGCAGTGATACGATTGATTTTGGAAAATTTAGTGTTCGTTTCAAGAAATTTCAATTTGAAGAATAGTATGCGCCCACCCATACAAATTTGTGTAACGAAATTATACGACTTCACCGATGTCTGAATCAGCGAGTTCAGCTGTGTGGGTAGGCGATTTTGAGCAAAATGTAATTGTCATCGAATTTATCACCTAAAGAAAAAGTAAATAAAAATCCCATTATTATTCACGGTTATTAGTGGTATGGTGAAGTTCACAGTTGTTAGTACAAAGTTGCAAAACATAATTGCACTTTATACTATAGACTATACGCCAGGAATGTAAAGTCCAATATCTCTCTGCTTAATTGTTGTTTTTTTTCTTCCCAAGAAATGATATGTGAACATGTCGGTGTCCAATGCAGTGATTGACACTACACACAAATAAATAAGTTAAAAATACACGGGGGCAATTTTCCCTTCAAACCTTTGAAATTCGGAGGGCAAAGCAATATTCAAGTCATTCTGTTTACAAGGCGAACTGAAGTCACTCATGAATTTGGTCCTGCAAAGGATTGAGGTTGACATTCCCGTTAACAAAGTAACGCCTTCAATAAAGAAACACAGTCCTCTGATCAGTCATACAGTTCAAGCATATACACAAACGGGATGTTTCTTTTGAACAATTGTTTTCATTTTTTTATTTCTCTTTGGATATACAAGAGACAACTTGGCAAGGTTAAAAAAATACATGTTTTGGCAGATATTATTATTCATAAGCTAGTCCAGCTGGGACACACACACAGTACTGGCTAGTTTAAGGCACTAAAGCATGGAAAATACAAAAATCCTAAGTTACAATGAATAATGTTATAACACGAATAACTTAAGTTGCTCATGTATGTACATGCTACATTCTGCCATAATATATATTAGAAGACTGTACAAGGAATACGGTAAGTGTGCAACATAAACTATTATAACAAAAAAGAATATACTATGTAATACAAACAAAATGGAGCATTAAATAAGATAAAGAGTATTGTGCATAACACTGGTTTGCATTCATACATGTGATGAATACATACTGGTAAGTGGTTTTCTATATTTAGCAAAAGAAAGAAATGCTGAAAGAACACAGGCTGCAAGGTGAACATGATCACTACCGGTAGAAGCAACATAAATTGTCCGGCAAAGCTAAAATCAGTGACAGATAAAGGATAAGTTAAATATTCCAACTAAAGTGTTTCGCCTGTTTACAGAGAAATTCATTTCCGTTATTGACAACATTTCGGAACTGCATGTTCACCTCTGAAGGTGAACTAAACTGTGAGGAAAAGGATGGTCTATCGGGCACATCTTGGGCACTATTCTTGTCAATTTGTAATGATCTCAATTTAGAAACTGAAATATGCCATGAACGTATAACATAATCATGAGACATCTCTGCACTGTAAAAAGATATTCCCCTCCTACCAGCATCTCTATGTACAATCAAAAGCTCACTGAACTGGTATATAATCTTATCCTTTACAAATAATGGACTTTCATTTACACGGTCATTCTGTAGCACATCACAACATCTTTTTGAGACAAGATCAGAAAAATATTCATAAACAGTTATGAATAAAAATAACCATCCTCAAGACACAGTCTACATATATACAAATTAACATTTAGAATTTTGAGTAAAAAGTCTTCGTCCGAATCTGATGCAAGCACACAGCTCTGATGCGAATTTTCCATACTTCTAAGTGACATTTTATTAGCACGACTTTTCTTTATACAATACATGTAGCATGGTCTACATATATGGTGACCTTGTGTTCCTGAAAAGTCTTCATTTATATCACCCAATCTTTTCAATTCACTTTCAGGAATATCTTTACAGGTATATGTTTTGTCATCAGAAGTCAGTAATGCTTCACAAACAGAACAGGAACGATAACTTCTAGATTGCTCAAAATGTGCCAATTCAAATCTATGTTTCATGCATAAAGGTATAGTAGGTGGAATTGAAGTGCATTCTTCAGAAAATGCAGCATTGAATTATTCTAATTCGCATTCACAATCTCTTAATAATTTATCAACACAACGGTCATAATGGACCAGAAATAAAATAATTCTTTCTTTTTTACGTGTCTTTTGGGTTTTTCAATTTTCTAACATATTTTTTTCTGCAACCACTACAAATACAGTCTGTCATTTAGATATCGGTATTACGTTCCGTAATGATAGCTACAAGGGCATTATATTTCATAGTACATAAATGGGGCCAAGGAGCCAACTTATCCTTCACCCCAGCAGCAAGAACGATTGATGTGATGTACAGGCTGAATTTTCTACTTCATCCCTCATGGTGATAAAATCACAATGCTTAATCTGAAAATAAGATAAGAGTCAAAGAAAAACTGACTTAATATATCATTAAAACGTTAATTGATCATCTTGCAACTTCAAAAGTTTACTTGACAAACGGTTGACATTCATAAGTTAAGGAGCAAGATTAATAATATTAGTTCAAATAAAAATAATTTTCCTGTATTTTCACAATGCTTTGGTTAGATTACAACCAAGGAACACTGTTTATATACCAGTAATGAAAACAAAATGAAGATTTTTATTTTATGAATTCACTTATTCGTTCTGAGAAAGAAGATTTCTATTTAATAATGTCACTCAGGTGGAGTGAGATGCTGCGATGCATGAAAACAGCTCAGCCATCTACTACCCTCGAGAACGACACCATTTGGGGAAATCCATGTTGCCCTCTAGGGAAGTCGACAGCTGAGCCGTTGTGCAGTCCCTCGCTCCGCCCATGTCATGTCAACATTCACAAAACAACATGCTATCGTGAAGTCCATAATGTTACCATGGTGGTTAGCATTCATTGAGGAGATAATTACTGAATAAATGGTAACTTTAATGAACAGGATCTTGTTTTTTTTCCGAGAATAAACAATAAAATGTGATTCAAAATGAGTTTAATTTGAATTTACTTTGAGAAAGCACTTTATAATTTCCATGTACATAAAATAAATGAAATCACAACTTACTTTGTTTCCAGGTGGCATCTTGAGGTCAAGATCAAGGGGGCAATCAGTTGAAAGAGGGCTAGGGGTCACATGACTGGTTGTGAAGCCTATGGGAGATCTTCTACAAGTTGTAGGAAGGACTGTGTACAGCTCCGCACCTGGAACAAAATTATCAACATTAGACAGTGAATGAACAACGCAGGTTGTTTTAATATACAAAGCAATCTACATGACATTAAACAGTTATGCATCAAGATTTCCTAATCATGTATTAGAAGAGGAAATGAGAGCAATTACTATATTATCCTATGGGAGAACATAAATGAACTTTTTTCACCAATCAGAAATTTCACTGACTGCTCTTTAGGGATACAAATTTCCATGTAAATGCAATAAATGAAATCACAACTTACTTTGTTTCCAGGTGGCATCTTGAGGTCAAGATCAAGGGGGCAATCAGTTGGAAGAGGGCTAGGGGTCACATGACTGGTTGTGAAGCCTATGGGAGATCTTCTACAAGTTGTAGGAAGGACTGTGTACAGCTCCGCACCTGGAACAAAATTATCAACATTAGACAGTGAATGAACAACGCAGGTTGTTTTAATATACAAAGCAATCTACATGACATTAAACAGTTATGCATCAAGATTTCCTAATCATGTATTAGAAGAGGAAATGAGAGCAATTACTATATTATCCTATGGGAGAACATAAATGAACTTTTTTCACCAATCAGAAATTTCACTGACTGCTCTTTAGGGATACAAATTTCCATGTAAATGCAATAAATGAAATCACAACTTACTTTGTTTCCAGGTGGCATCTTGAGGTCAAGATCAAGGGGGCGATCAGTTGGAAGAGGGCTAGGGGTCACATGACTGGTTGTGAAGCCTGTGCGGGATCTTCTACAAGTTGTAGGAAGGACTGTGTACAGCTCCGCACCTGGAACAAAATTATCAACATTAGACAGTGAATGAACAACGCAGGTTGTTTGAATATACAAAGTAATTTACATGACATTAAACAGTTATGCATCAAGATTTCCTTATCGTGTAAGAAATCACTACTGTATTCTATGGGAGAACATACATGTAAGTGTATTTTTTTTATAGTTTCACTGACTGCTATTTAGGGAAACAAATTCCCATGTGAATAGAATAAATTAAACCACAACTTACCTTGTTTCTAGGATGCATCCTTGAGGTCAAGATCAGGGGGGGGGGGGTCAATTGGAAGAGGAGGGCTAGGGGTCAAAACTTCTATGAGGGCCTGTGTACATCTAAGCGCCTGGAACCAAAAAAACAAAAACAAAACAATTAACACAGAATGAACACAAGAAATAAATCAAACATTCAAGAGTGATTTCCTCAACAAATAAAAAAGCTAGCAAGAACTAGTTCTCTACCCCTGGGCAAAACATGGAATCCCATTTCACAAATCAGATTATCATTAACTTTTATTTAGGGAAATATGTGTCTGTGTAAAAGTCAATATACACAAATGCACACAATGAATACGATGTGGCTGACCGGCAAGTTTGACGGTAGGCATGCGATTTGAATTTTTTAATTATTTTTCTAACATCGGTGAGTTGAATTTCTTTTTTTTTTATTGCTATTTAGGTGTCATCAATTGTCACTAAAGTACCGATTTTAAGTGAAATCAGTTGAGTTTTGTACAGTGGTGTTTGAAATGTTGAGATTCAAAAGAACAGCTTTTAATACACAGCCAAGGTCATAATGGCTAATGCAGCCAAGTAAGTCTAGACTGACTAGAGTCTAGACCACACATATATGTGCATTACTATCCTGGCTGTATATTAAAAGCTGTGCTATTGATTCTCAACATTTCAAACACCACTGTACAACACTCAACTGATTTCACTCAAAATCGGTACTTTCGTGACGATTGATGACACCTACATAGCATTAAAATACAATTTTTTCAACTTTCCGATGTTAGAAAGAATTATTTAAAAATTCAAATTGTGAGTCCACTGTCAAACTTTCGATCAGCCGCATCGGCATGATTGTGTGCATCTCTGTGTGTTACGAGTGTATCGACTATTCATGTAGATCTATTCCAATCCTGCCTATGCAGTGCAGTGCTACTGGTCAATACGCAATAGCATTGACTCATCTTGACTTTTAATAGAAGTCTAGATCAAATCCTATTTGGAATTCAATCTAAAAACGTTATTACTAATAATCCCAGTCCCATTTGATGCCTGAACACATGAGGAAACTGGAATTCAACAGAAAATGAAATAGTTTCGGTCTTTGAGCCAACAATTGCACTGAAGACTCCATGAAAATCTATATGTGGGACAACACTATACAATCAGTATGCACTACGCCCATTCGCGCGTTTTACTATTTTTAGACCATTTCGCGCCAGTTCACCCAACTTCGAGTACGTATTTCCGGTGAAAACATGATTTTCTCGTGAATTTGGGAAGCAGAATTCACTAATTTCCTGTTGAGGAACCTCAAATTGGACAACAGATTTGGCAATTTCAGACATTGCTGAACACATATCGACATCAAATGATCTTTTTCTAGTTTCGAACGGGTCAGGTTCACGAAAACAAATTTTAGTTACAAAACTAGGAACGAAAACTTCTCAAAATTAGGCTTCATTGCATGATGCTGTAAAACCGTAAATTTTGCGGAAATATATCAACATTTCATATCATTCGAAAGGAAATTTTCTGGAGATCGACTTACCCAAACATGGCTGCTCAAAAACTGAGCATGCGCGAGAAAATAGAGTCTACGTCATCCCTTCCAGTATTCTCGCACGATCTCGTAACTTCTCGTTTGTGGATATTATTCATCGAGCTGTTTCCATCGCACGATAACGCTCGCACGATATGCTCATTAGCGAGCGTGCAGCGGGCTGACTGCATTTTTATATAATTATGTATGCACAAAATTAATGCTACAAATGTCTACTTTACATAATACACATCTGTAATCTATATGGTCAAGTTGGTGGCCAGATGCTAATAAAGATTATTGATTATCAGTTGATTGATTACTGGATAATCAATCAACTGATTTTCAACTGGTAAATCAACTGGTGAATCTACTGAAAATGCGTTGTTTCAATTTCCATATTAAAAAACAGTTGAATGTACTGGTTTCAACTGGAATTCTGACCTGGGCGATCACACATCGGGGACGCGTGGGGGACGCACGGCCCGCGCATTGCAAATTTCCAATTGTTGCCAGTGCGTTGTCGTGCGTTAGGTGTTCGTCATTTTTCGTTACTCGTTCGTCGAGTACGCTGTACTAACGCTGGATCAACGCTGTACATTCGTCGTCATTTGCCGTGTGCGTCGGGATTTTTTGAGCATGTTCAAAAATGTGCGCGGAGCTCGACGCATGAATGTAAACGCCAAAAGGACGCCAGACATGCGCGGAGCGCGCTAGACCAACGCCGGACATACGCCGAGCACATGTCCTTTATACGCGCAGCGCGATAGCAACACGCTACACATTCGGTGTCAGATCGCTAGCTTCTCCCAAATCCTTTTCCGATTTTCAATGCGCTGGCCTTGCGTCGTCTATGTGTGACCGGGCCTATATATACCCGGGACTGCTTTACTATGTATATTTGTTTATCATGGTGATAGTGAAAACCCTTGGGATAGTTTAAAAGGTTTACAGTGAAGTAGTTTGTCAGGGAGAAAAAAAATTGTAGTACAAAATTTAAAAAAATTATTTCTTGTACTACCCGAATAACCCGATTAGTCTATTCCAATTAATCTACACACAGTCGTTCTACTATCCACATGGTTTAATAACCATTTCGTCTACGTATCATTTGGTCTAATGACCATTTAGAATAAAAAGCTATTTGGTCTAATTTCCATTTGGTCTTATTTCCAATAAGTCTACTTAAAGATGAAGTTGAGTTCTGGTCATGCGATTGCATTTTGAAAGAAACGGTGTGGAATCGACCAGAAAAGGTTGATCATCTAGCATGTAAGAATTTGTGTGTATTGCAAGGTTCTGGAATCATCAAAATGATAAGAAATTTGGCCAAGTCTTGTTAAAGTTACAAACACTGCACACAAAAAGATATATATGGGACTACATGAACACGTGGCGTAAAAATCCTACCCTGGAGTTTTACGATGTTATATGACATATTTAGAATATGAAGGCATTTGAAGAGCCATGCTTTTGAGGGAACATGTCTTATCTGTTGTTCTTCCACACTTGCATAATAAGAATGATAACGCTCACAAATTTTTGTTCACCTTTTCCCAGAACTCAACCTTCTCTTTAACCATTATTTTGTTCTATTGCTCATTTAGTCTTTTTTCAGTACGTCTAATTCCAAGTTTGTCTAACACCCATTTTGGCTTCTATCCATAAATAGTAATAATCATTTGGCGATGATTATTATTATTCATGATTGAATGATTATTAGACCATATGGATAGTAGACGGGCTGGGTGTAGACCAAATGGAGATAGACCAATTGGGTAGAAGACGGGCTGGGTGTAGACCAAATGGAGATAGACCGATAGGGTAGCAGACGGGCTGGGTGTAGACCAAATGGAGATAGACCAATTGGGAAGTAGACGGGTTGGGTGTAGACCAAATGGAGATAGACCAATTGGGTAGTAGACGAACTGGTTGTAGACCAAACGGCAATAAACCCTACAAACTAGCTACAGACTTACTTCGAAGCTGAGTCACGTCTTTCGGATGGTAGGTCGACCCCCCTTTATGTAAATAGTCATATCTGATTGATACACATCTGTAAGTAACCGAATTTAATACAAACACACGCACGATAATCTTTTTTTTTTTTAAAGATTCTCACGGATCAACGAAAATTGAGAAAAAACACAGTTCTCAATATTCATATAGGCCTATGGATTCGACACAATAAGGTTTTGATACGGGTAAATGCTGATGAGGTGTATAGTAAAGCGCCATGGACTCAATGTTCACATTACATTATCTTAATAATCACAAACTCGTGATATATTATTTTACATCTTTCGCATGGGGTGTTGGCTATGAATTCTTTCACCCTTTTCATAATGTTATCAGCAAATCCATTAATCTTCAGAACGATGTTGGCAAATCTTGAAATTGTATCACTTTGTTTATTTACTTGATTATTTATAATTTGCTTGATAGAAAACTTTTAACATTTATCAACAAATATGGAGATAGACCAGCAAATTTGAAAATCTACCTTTCAATTTTACACTTGTCGGTAAATTAGGTCCGACATACCCATTCAAAATAATCTTACCTGACTTGCCTGTGCTTCAGAATTTCGATTGAATTATATATTTTTCTATTATCTTTATTAATATTAGAAAATTTCATTCACAAAGTACATGAATATTTTGTTTGACGTCTTGTAAACTTTGTCGGCAAATTTGCAATTCATGGTAATTCATTCCTAGATGGTTAAAAAAAGAATCCTTGCATGGTGTATGACGTTTTAAATCTGATTTTAGTTTTCATTTTTTAAATCTGTGTGCCCATGCCTTGAGCCATAATGCATGGCCGTTCAGAGGATTTTTTTATGTTGGGGACCGAGGTAAATTGCAATTAATTATTGAAAAGTTATTGCATTTTCTATTTTTTTTTAATTCATGGAAACTGCCCCCTACCCTAGCCCCCGCTGCGTACAGTCATGGTTCAGTGACAAAGCAATGGCCTCGTAACTATGAGGCCCCGGGATGAAAACCGTGTCGATGTGCTATATTAGTGCCCTTTTGTGGGGCATTAATCCTCATTACTGTCATTTATGACTTAAGGGCGTATGTCCCCTAGTTAATAAGCATAGTAGCATATACATGCTTTAGCAGTCATGCAAAACACGCATTGTCAAATTATTATTCAATAAAATCTGAGAATGTATAATATTATCTAGATCTATTATTTTTTTTATTTTTTTTTTTAAATTCCATAAATTGGGGTAAAACAAAAATATTCCAACTATATGAGCGACAGTGTACTTTGATTGAATTAATCCCGGCATACATGAGCTTGCTTCGTCAAGCAACACTGTTATGAATATGAACTAGGCGTGTCAAAATCAATTCGTCCCAGATTTTGGTAAACAGTGAAAACGTTAGTATCACATGTGCATACATGACTGTACACATAAGACCCCGTTCTCACTCACTTTGAAAGTGGTCTCTTGAGGAACGGTTTGCGAGCGTTCACACTCCGAGCAGTTTTTTATGGCTCAAACCGCTCCACGAGTCAAAGTGGTCTTGTTGCTATGGCAGCTCAGGTCAGC